GAATCTCTATCACTGTCACCAACATCAACAATTAGTTCTTCTGTTTGTATGTCTATTACTTGCTCACTGATCAATATTTTTAAATATTTAATCTACGCCCCTGATAGGAATACTGAAGAAAGAGGGCTGCAATCTTTATACCTAAAACTGCCTACTTTTGCCACCGCGCATCCACACCATTTTAAAATTTCCGCCAGCTTCCAGCGTCAGGCCTGTACTTAATGTCTGCATATAAATCCAGAAAAACATTTTGCCTGATTATATACCTACAAGGTCAATATTGTTAGTCAAATTATACAGTTAGTAGACTACAATTCCTGGGAAGTACATTCATTTAAATGCGAACCGTCCAAGAGATAACATCAAACTTGAGAAAAATGAAATAAGTAGAGGCAAAGGCATATACACAGATACTTGGTGGAAACATTGGCGGTACTTCTTTCCTCCATATTCCACAGTTGCACGTTGAGTCAAGGAGTTTCAGCTGAACAGAACATTCACGGAAGATGAGAATCGCGAAGAATGACCATTCACGTTCCTTACTGAAGGTAAGAGAAAACAATCGAAAACGTTGTGTTGGCAAATGGGAGAGTAACCATCAGGCGTGTATCTAGGATCACAAAGATCTCATATGATAGTGTTCCAAGAATCCTTGCGAACAAATTGCATATGAAATATGCCCTAGGCTTTGGGTACCGAGGATGCAAATCGATAAGCAAAAGAAACAACAGCACAGCATTTCGAGGATGAATTTTAAAAAGTTCCACGCAGACCAAGAAAATATTTTGTTACGTTTCGTGACGATTGACGAAATTTGGATCCATCATTTTGATCCTGAAACCAAACAACAATCGATGACTTGGAAGCGAAGTTCCTCACCGACTTTGAATTGAAGAAATTCAAGTTGTCAACACAGACCAACCTTTACCTGCTGTCTTAACAGCGCGTTTTAGAAAATACCACAAATGGCGTGGTGAGCGCCATCTGTAGTACGATGCTACATTATAGGATTACGTATGCTCCAGGACAGGACAAATGCTAATGCACGTAACTCATAGTTCCTTTGACAGAGCTGTTCAGATGAACCTAAAATAGAAGGTAACGTGTCGGTATTTCTTTTTTTTTGCTACGTTGTGTTTATAATTTTCCAAAGTTTTATGACTAACATTGACGTGTTATCAGGCGAGTAATTAAATTTTCACAATATTTTCAATAGTAGCAGTAGAATCGGCGTTTTATATTAGATACTTTTTAAAGTCGTCACCGTTTTAGGTTAGAAGTGCTCCGTTTAAATACGACGCAAAATGAGAAATTTGCATTCTTTATTGTTGTTGCTCATTATCAGAAAATTAAGTGATCCTGTTTATAGAACGTTTTGAATATTTAAAGTTGATACATAATGTTACTATCTGAGTAAAAGTTATTCTATTCAACAGTTTAATTTATTTTATATGATACT